CTAAAGAGCTTTTCTGCAGAAACCAACTCACTTCATCCTCACAAACCCAGGAAATATCTCTACTATTATCCACATCCTTCAGGTAATAGAATTTAAGCACAGAAGCACATGGAGGCTAGATTGATGGCTTGTCTGTAGCCACATAGCTTACTATGTGGCAGAGCCAGGATTTGAACCTAGGCAGCTCAGCTAAAAGCCCTTGCTCTTAACCACTGTGTTATTCTATCTCTCATCTCAGTTTGTAGCCAACAGTTAGACAGGGTGGTGGGGGGGTTCAAAGCTATGTGACTGTGGATGTGATACTAAGTCTAATTTTACTGGGCTGAAGGAAAATTTGGGGAATGACCTGGATTCAGTGTCTATTTGAATGTAAAATAAAGGAGCTCCTGGGGGCAAGAGTAAGATGCAGAATCTGAGGGACAGTCCCTAGTCAGTTCAAATGGAGTATGATCCCAGATAGGAGGTGAGGTGGATTTCCTGGAGTGGAGGGTGTCTCTGTTTCTTTTCCATTCGGAAGCACCAAACCTTGCTCTTTAGCCTGGCCTTTTGGAAGGCAGGTCTTTGAGATTCCAGTGTCTAGCAGGACTGTGGTTATTCTGTCTGCTTCTACACATGAAGGCAGTAAGATGAAAACTTCCTTGGGAAACAGCTCTCTGCCCTTTCCCAGGTGAAAACATTGTCATCCCAGCAGATCCATGGTAGCTTTGACTTCCACAGCAAAGTGGGAAAGGGGGAGCTGGTAACACTGCAGGAGATAATGCAGCCAAGGAAGTTGGCTCATCACCTTCTTTTATTGTGCCAAGAGCTGACCATCAACTCACAGCCCCAGAAACTGATGATAAGAATGGCAGCAAACTTATGCCTGAGTCTGGGCCTTTAACTGAGGCCAGTCCATACTTCCATACGCCGTGGGACATTTAACAGGGTGCTGTAGTCATCCCAGTCCTGTAGAAACGTTCTAACCCAATTGTGACAGCACACCAATTGTTTCTGGCTTCTTTCTTCTTGCTCTGCATCTTTGTTTGCTCAACTCCTGACCATTTGAATTCAATTCCCAAAACCCACATTCACCCCTTATATGTAAGAAATACTTGGACTTTATTTGATTCATGAATGTGGTTTTGGAGTTAACTTCTGGATCCAGCCCCAAGCATAAACCTACTTGGCCAGAGACCCTGGGCCGACCTGATTCCTTCAGGCCAAATACTGTTCCATTTTGAGTCAGGTACTCTCTTTGGATTTTGCCAAAGTCTCCTCTGGTCATTGATAACTTTGGGAACAGGGCCTGGACTTCATGCCAATCAATGTGGGAATAGCATGAGCTCAAATTCATTCCTTTCAGAATCTGGACTCCCCATCTTTGATCTGTGAGGAGAACACCACTGTCCCCTTCTTCACTTCCCACACGGAGACTAGCAAAGGACTTGATTGGAAGGAATTGGCATGTTTTCTGGGGAAGGTATTGCCTTGCTCCTTGCTTGGTAAATCCAGTTGTTAAGAGTCTAGTCCAGACCTGTTCCTGCTCCTACACCTGCCCAGCCCTTGAACCAGTGAGGACTCACCCTGGAAGGCCATTGGGAGATCCTTACCCACTAGTCAGTAGAGCTTCAGATCATCAGTTGCCCTTACATCTGGTGTGTCCAGTACACAGGGGTATTTAGCTCCCTGAATGCCCAGGGGAGCATCAGACAACAGCTTCACCAGCCAACATCTTGAGTCCAACTGCCTCTGTCTAGCTTTCTGGTTCCTGATTTTACCTTGGGGATGGCTGTTCAAGCTCCTCTATGTCTATATCTCACATATCCTATGTCGACCATCTCTCTGAACTGTGTATTACTTCTGCTACCCTTCACCCTGACTCAGATGACCCTTTCAGATCTATGTTTTAGATTCTGGTCAGACGCCAGAAAATGCTGCCTTCTAGAAAACCCACTCAGACCCCTTGGGTATAACGTTACACGAACCAGATTACATCTGACTACCTCTCCTGGGTTTAATGGTTCAGACTTCTGGCATCTTCCTCCAGGGAGCCAACTGTCTTGTCCTGGGTAGTTTCTCCAAGAAAAGTCTCCGAGCTCAGCAAGCTTTTCTCTCCCCATTAAGGGCTTTGGAATTCCTCATGGCCCTGCCAAGACATATAGTTATACCATCTCCTTAGATGGGGCCTTTTTTTGGCTACTAAATTGTCAGATTTAACAAGAATGAGACATCACATTTTACCCATCAGATTGGCAAAAGTGAACATGATTGACAAATGCTTAGAAAGGGTGTAGGGAAACGGATATTCTCAGACAGCATTTGTGGGAGGGCACATCAGCACAACTCTAATTTTTTTGGAGGGCAGCTTGAAAATATGCATCAAACTTCCACCTTAACAATTTTCCTTCTAGGATTTTATCAGGGAGTTAATTGGGCAAAGTTTCAAGAAATATATGTGTAACAGAATGCTTCTTTCAATGATGTTACTGGTAGCAGAAAAAGATACGGGATTTGTTTAATAATTTATGTGACATCCATACAAAGGAATACAGTGCATCAGTTAAAGAGCTTGTTATAAGGCAACATGCATTGATACGGAAAGATGTCCACACCATGTTGCTGAGTAAAGAAGCAATTTACACAATAGCTTGTCTAAGGTAACCCCAGGAATGGATTTCATATACATATACACATTTATATTTACCTCAGGAAGTCAGGAAGCTCACAGGATAGTGGAGAATGGTGGACAAATACAAAAATTTCATGGTGCATAAGCCATTAGAGAAATGCAGAAAGGAGCATCTAAGGGACCCAGGAAAGCCTTCTCAAACAGAGCACCTGCTAAGCTGGGAACTGAAGGATGCAGAAGAAGATGCAGAGATCCAAATGAAGGTATCTGGTAAATGGCTGGGTCCGTGGCCCTCAAATCATAGCCATGACATAGACTTTCTGCTCTACCCACAAGGTCACGGGCCACAAGCCACAGAAGATGCAGAAAACATCATTGAAATGAGTCCCATAAACGGGCTATTGAACGACAGGTAGACTTGGATAGGAGCACTGAATTTTGATCCTATGCCTAACATTAGAGGCAGAGGGAAGCGCCTTCTCTGAGTTGACTTTCTAAGTTCTCCTTCTCTTGCCTGCCCTGCTGTGCCCTACAGAAAAATGACGTTTAGTCACACAATCTATTCCATAGTTAAACTTGCACTTTATTAAAATTGCTCTGAATAACTCTGGAGGGAAAACTGTACCCGTCTCCATTCATCTTCAGTGGCTTTTACACCTCACTCGACACAACTGTCTCCTTTGATTAAATCTCCATTAGGGCTCTGTTCCATATTCAGCAGCTCTATAAGCCAATTAACCCACCATTCCATAGGTTAGGACAAAGAGCAGTGCTTCTTCACAGAGAGAGAGAGAGCGAGAGAGAGAAAAAGAGGGAGAGAGGGAGGGAGGGAGGAAGAGTGAGATAGGAAAGAGAAACTCATCTCCCCTGCTAGGGGTGCAGTTAATCAGTGTTTATCATCATGCTCTTATTTCCCCACATTTAATCTAAAGGAAATGGCAGGGAAGTGGCCAGCAAGATGCAATGTCAGAACTGAGAAGTCCAAGCTTGGCTGATCCATTATACCAGACTCTGAAGAGGGGATGCTGATGTCCTAAACCGAGTGGTGCTTGGGAGTATCCATGGACCTCTCAATCCCTTCCTCTTCTTGCTCAGCCAGAATCCCCGGGAGCACTCACCCCCAGGCTCCAGTCCCCAAGGCCCTGTCCAGGTCTGCTTGTTAAAAGCTCAGTCTTCACTAGCGTAAGTCTGGTTTAGTCTCAGGGCCCTAGGCCTTGGGCCTGGATGTGGGGGGGCCTGGTTATCCACAAATCACCAAGTTACTACCTCCCATGAACTGCCCGCTTCATCCCTACCTTACTGCTGCAAAGCATAAGACTGGTTTCCATCTGGAGACTAAGCCCCTTAAAGGGCTACAGCTCCTATAAGCCTCTGACTTCCAGACTGGTTGTCAAGGACTCTATACCTTACCTGGTTCTGCTAATTCTTTTCCCTGGGGGATAGACTTCGCTCCCTGCTCCTGGCCATGGGATGCAGTTCTGCCTTGAAGAGACACAACCTGTCCACATTTTGGTGTTGCCTGAAGATGGAGAATTTCGTTGATTCTCAGTATCCACTGACTGCACAAACCCTACTTATTTGGGACCTTAAATGCCTCCACAACTTGGATCCATGGCTAGACTGAACAAAGTGGCCTTGAACGAGAATTCATGTCAGGTCTTGCACTGAGGCCAAATGCTCACGGTTAAGGTGAGGTGATTCAGAGTTAAAAGACAAAGGTAGGACTGGAGGTCAACGCAAGCCCAGGATGAGAGAACAAGCTGATTCAGACCTGCATCTGTCCACCTGCCTGGGAAGGATCCACCAGCTCCAGACTCTTCCCACCTTGCATCGGGGATAATGGGAGAAGGACCCACCCAGCAGGCTGTCCAAAGCTCTCTCTCTTCTAGCAAGTGGCCTTGGGAAGATACATTCAACTATTTTAGTATAAAAGTGAGGTTTTAAGGGAACCAAGGCTCTGAAGGGCTGGTGCTGGCATCTAGTTGCATCCCTCTGAGCCTTTTCAAAGGGACCAAGTAGAAGAGGTTAGCATGGGCACCTGGAGTCCTGAAGCCTAGACTTCTAACCCCATGGTGGAAGCCAACTATTGTTCTGTTCCTAGCCCTGCAGGGGTTTGTCTGATCTTCCAGGGCTGCCCAGTCTCTTCCCAGGCCTCCCTTAACTCATACAGGCGTGATGCAGAGGTAAGGGTCTGCTTGCCATCTGCTGGTCACCTCTGCTCTGCCCCCCAGGTTCTGCTCCTCTGGGTCAGAAATCTCCAGATGCTGAACTTGTCTGCAGTTGGGGAGTTGTGCATGGTTCTTACCTTGGGGCTTAGCATTTTTGTCCCTTCCCTGGGAAAGCACAGAGGGACCTCTCTCATTTCGGTGTTAGCTCTTTCCTCCCCTTGCAGACCTGATGGATCCTAGATCTCACATGCTGGACCTTCATGGCTCAAGTCAACATCTTCCTGGAACTGTTCTGTCTGCTGATGCTGCCCATGAAACCAGTGTGTTGAGAGGCAGCACTAGGACAAATACAGCTTCTGGGAAGAAGGTGCTTCTCTTCGTGCTGAACCTTTATGTTGATGAGCTTTGCTGTTGCACGTACCTAACTTGTCACTCCAACTCTATATCAATTTCATATATATAACCATGTCAGTAAAAAAATGCACAACAAATGTTACAGAATAAAAAAGGAGAAAAGTAATGGATTAATATTTTTATTATGTTGGTGTAGCTTTTGAGAAGAGGAAAAACATTTATTTACAACATGTTGCAGTAATAAATAATTACATTGCAGTTTTATTCTCTTGATTAATTCTTTAGTTCAAAAACAACTAAAAGAAAAAGATGAATTTCAATTGAAAAATATTATTTAAATTAAATACAGATGATGTAAAAATTGCACTCACCAAGCAAAAAATATTGCACTGTGCGGTTTTCACTGCTTTAAACTTTAAATGCAGATAAAGCTTCCAGTGGTCATACAGGATGTCTGAATTGAAATAACTCACT